GGAGAATCGGGAGCTGCCGCCGCCGCCACCGCCACCTTCCGCACAGCAGCAGCCACAGCCGCAGCACACAGCAGCAGCACACAGCAGCAGCGCGGGGGGCTCCGCGGAGCCGCGGGGGGAGCGCCAATGCCCGGACCGACCCAAGCCCTGTCCCCAAATGGCGAGAACAACAACGACATCATCCAGGATAACGGGACCATCATCCCCTTCAGGAAGCACACGGTGCGGGGGGAGCGCTCCTACAGGTACGGCGGGGAGAGGAGGAGGAGGGGGGGGAAGGGTTGCATAAGACGGGTGGGATACAGCCCCCCCACACCGTCCCCCCCTTCCATCCCGGTCCACCCCCGTTGTAGCCCTTTCTTACCCCCCCGCCATCCTCCTGGTTCCGCCGGAGGGCCGGGGGGCGGCGGAGGTGCTGGCATTGTGCTGGGCTGGGAAAAAGCGTTTTTTTTTTTTTTTATTAGCCACTTAAAAAATAAAAAAAAAAAAAAAAAAAGGAAGGAAGGAATGGGAGAAGCCCGCGCAGGCAGCAGCAGCCAGCTCCCCCTGGAAGGAGCCGCAGCACCTCGCTGCGGATCTCGGAGGCGGCGCCGTGCGGGAGGCGGCGGGCGGGGATGGCGGGGCGCGGGCAGCCCCTGCCCGGCTGGCAGCCCGCACCGCCCGGGGGAGGGGAAATGGGGGGGAGGATGGGGGACAGGCGCCCCCACACCCCCTGGCACAGCGCTGCGGGGGTGACAGGGACCCCCCGCTCATCGGGGGGTCCATGTCCCCCATTCTCCCCCGCCCCGCGTTGCTTTGGTGCGGGGGGGGGGGAGGCGGCTCCATCCGCCCACCCCCGCCCGCCCCCGCGGCGGTGGGAGCCTGCCCCATCTTGTATTTATTTATCGGTTTGGTTCTTTTAATTTGGTGGGGTTTGGGGAAGGGGGGGGCACGTCCTTTGTCGCAGTTGTAGGCATTTTTGATGAATCGCTTGGCATGCACTGCTGGCAGCTCCTCTGCATTAACATCTCTGACAATATGTTCCGGCAGATAAGCTCATTAAAATTGTTTGCATTGTTTGATAAGGGTCGCGGCGAGGCCCGGAACGCAACTGGTTTGATGTGCTCCTTTGCTGCCTGACCCTAAGGGCCATCAGACGGCCAGTAGCTCCCCTTATGTTAATACACAGTTATTTTAAATGCCGCCCGGATGACAGCAAGCAATGCCTCTGCAGAGAACACGCCCCTTAAAGCCGATTTTGCAAACCGCAGGAAATGATGCTGCTTTCAAATATCTGACTAAAGTGGCGAGTTGTACGCTCCATTAGATGAAAACAAATGTGGATGGCTTGGCTTGTTTGTCTGAAGAAAATCGCAGTGGCGTTGTGTTTTGTTGTTTTTTTTTTCCTTCTGCTGAGGAATAAGAGAGCTGCTACTGGCGTAGCCAACCTGCACGGTGACTCATTGTTGATCGCCCACCGATGGGTCATCCTGAAACACCTCGGAGATCCAAGTGTGTGCTTTGTTTGAATACCACAGAATTAACTCTGTCCCTCTCTCTGAATCTGTTGCTGTTTTGGGTTATGAAGCCTGGATGCACGCGTTTAGCACAAAGTAGCAACGTTGCTTTCTGTAAAGACCTATTTCTGCGTGCAGGGAGATGGGAGCTCTCACTTTCTGAATTTCGGCTGAATTTCAGCTGAGCGGTGCAAGATTGTTTTAGAGGAAAGCTGTATTTCCATCGTGTGCCTAAGCAGAAATATGGAATAGATCTGAAATGAATTATCATGCATCTATCTTTAGTTATTCTGACGTGTCATAGGTGCTACTGATTGCTATCTCACCGGTGTCCTTCAGAAGCGTTCTTGGAAAACCTCTGTGTTGTGTTTAGTGATGTGGTTTTTGGTTTTGTCAGAGTTAGGTTGATGGTTGGACTAGATGGTCTTAAAGGCCCCTTCCAACCTAGACAATTCTATGAATGGGGTTCTCCATTATCCTTTTGCAATGTCTGCATGCAGTTTTCTGCAGCTGTCAACAAGTCAGTTTCCTTGTTCTTCTGCTTGTCATATCGTACATTGAACTACCTCTAGAAAAGGCACTTTGTGAAGCTGCTGTGCCCATGATGACAGAAATCATTATATCACTTGCCCAGTTTTCCAGAAAGAGTGAATTTATTCTGCATTTGAGTAGCCTTTCATCCGGAGGAGTATTCCTTAGTCTTGTAGAGCTCTGCACCAATTGGTATTTGTATCTAGAGCAATATAAAGGAATTCAGAACTGTTAATGTTGCATGTTATTTTGAGGCACTAAATAAATAATCCAATTAAATATTTTCAGAAATAAACCTTTAATGCAGAAATAAAATCTATGCTGGGGAATCCCATTTAGGTTGTCTTTTCCTTGTGGAAACCTACCCTGATCTACAGAGTCATAGCATTCAAATCTGTTGATTCTCCAGCTGTGAGACTGTTTAGTTTTAATCTGTAGCTCTAAGTACTTTGTGACGTAAATGTCAACCATAGCAGAATAAAACCTTAAAGAAAATGTGAAAACGGGGTGAAACTCCTCTTTGATACTGGAATATTATATAAAAATACTTGATAGCTAGGCTAGTTTTCATAAAAATATTTGATAGCTAGGCTAGTTTTGTTCTTGCTTGGTTTGATTTGAAGCACGAGATCATTAAATAAAACTTAATCTGGCTTAATCTGCCCTCAGTATAGTCCCTACTGCCACGCTGGACTGTTGGTGCCATGCTGACTTTGGAGCAGGCTGATGGAGCAGCCTGTGGAACTTCCATATGACACATCAAGTTGTTATGCCTCTGATTGTTGGGCTGGTTTGTTCCATCTGCATCTGGAAACATGAAATAAATATGTCATTAAACAGCGCCTGAAGCATGACAACAGATCAGCAGTTCTACAAATCTAGAAGTAGGTACTTTGCTCAGAATATACTTCTGTGTAGTGCTCCTCTGCTCTTAAGCTAAACTGTGCCCACCAGGTGTTTAGAGGTTCAGTATTTGCCTTTCAGTTTTCTCGCATGTAATATCAGAAAAGTTTTTACATTTTTACTTTTAGCATACTGTGTTTCATAGAAAAAAATTGTCTAACAGTTTAGATGTTCTTGTTTAGATGTTCCCAGACCTTAAAAAAAAAAAAAAGCTTTACTGTCTCAAATATCAGCTCCTACCAAAGATTTGATATCCAGCTCCACAAGCAGATTTAGAAAGAGGTGAGGTTTATACCATTTGGCAGACTAGGAAGCTGATGTGAAAGGAGTTGTCCTGAGTTATCCACTGACTTGAGGACACAGCAGGGAATTGAACCTGTACCACATGAGTCCCAGCCATGTGCTCTGTATGCAAAGCCACAAATAGTTTACTCCGAGTCTTCCAAAGGACATATTATGTTTTGCAGACTGGGATGGACAGGCCTGAGGTGTTAAGTTTCTCATCCAGCCTCACTCTAGCTGGTAAATGGAAACCAGGCACTTCAGCATAAAATTTAGTCACAGGGAGATGTTACCTTTCAGAGTAAATAACTCTAATCAGTCTGTATTTCTCTAGTGAAACGCTGTTTCAGGCGCTCTGGATCAGGAGACTGACTTTAAAATTTGATTGGAACTGAGGTGTCATTTTGTTGGCCCAAAATAGATTTAGGCTCGTTTCTGTGAACAGCATTACATTCAATTGTAATTTTACTTGTCTGGTCAAAGAAGACTGAAAAAATACAACGAGAAACCAAATCAACAGCCGTGTGCAGGGCATGTCTGCAGTGATATTTTTTTTTTTGCCAGACTTTAGGCATATTGTGTGGTTGATTGGCTCATCATGTTTTTTAAAGCTAGCTGTACGACGAGTTTGAGCATACCCAGCCTAAATCAGTCCAATCTAAAAGGGACGAACTGTTGTTCCCTCCTTTGCAGGATGCTGCACCTGACTTTTGGTTTATCTGTGTGCTGCTCAAAAAATGGTTTTCTGGTCCTCTGTACACTGGCTAGGCTTAGTTTTATACCCAGAATTTTCACAAAGGGTGGGGGAATGGGGCTAATTTCCTGATTATTTTTCTTCAAATCACTAAGCTGAAAGAAATTAAACAAAAATAATATTTAGCAAGGCTCAGTGTCGCCTTGCTTTTAGAAATCACTAAGCTGCCCATGTGCTACGGTGCAGGGCATAATAATGAAAGCTGGACGGAAGCGGTGATTTCCTCTCCTGCTGCCGAGATACACTCTGTAACACCCCACGGTATCTGGCTGCTGTAGTTTGCTGCAGTGGGAGCTGGGAACTTCCACCCTGAAAGTTGAGATTTACGTTGAGAGCATAAATATCTGGCTTGCTCTTTGCCTTCCCAACTCCCCATGAATCGCCGGACGCAGGCTGGCCCCGGGTGGCAGGGAGCATCCTTCCCTCGGCAGGACGTGTCCCTGCCACCATCTCTGGTGACTTGGTGGCTTCCACACGTGTGCAGCTCTACTCACTCAGGGTACGAAGGGAGACTTCGCCTTACCCTGGGCAGAGGCGTTTCTTGCTCTAAAATTAGATTGCATTGAAAATGGTAAGCAGATAATTCTACTGAAGTAAGAAAGATCATTTGTGTTGTTAAAATTCATAGATTGAGGCCCAAACTTTTTCTGGCTGGGAACTGGGAAGAAGATAGAGGGTAAAAGCGGTGAATTGTCTTTTCACTTCCTCGTGTAGCTGGGCATGACAGTCTTCAACCTCAGAAACTGTAAATGCTGGTCCAAGCAAATGCTACTAATTATATTAGTAACTGAAACATTATTTCCAGAGGCGTTTGCTCTCGGCCTGACTGCTCCTGTGGCACATCACGAGAATTTTGTCCTAGATTTCACTGGAAGCAGGAGGAAGGCAATAATAAATGTTTGTTTCTTTGTTTAAAAAAAAAAAAAAAGCATAAATCACACCCTATAAACTTGGCTTGAGCTTTCCTAAAAATGATGTTTGTGATAGCCCCCTTGTCTGTCAAGCATGTGGATTGACAGCAAGATAGTTATTAGCTATCTAAGAGAAGACCCTCCTGATGGTTTACAGCCAGCAGCTGGGAGCCAGCATAAGAGGTACTGTGCAGAAATCTTTCCTTGGTTCCGGTGGGCTTAGGTACCCTCTATTTTCTCTTCTTTCACTTTCATAAAGCTGGCTTCCTGCCACTGCTCTTCTGCTTTAATCCTGTTTTCTGATTAGGGACTATTCTGCCTAGGGAGATCTGTTTTGGTGGGGTATCTTCTGCTGGGCAGGTCCAGCT